ATACGGCTCACATTAATGACGTATCCGGGTAGACCAGCAACGTTGCGTCTTGCAATTGTTTCTTGGAGACATACATCGTTTGGCTTGGTCACTAAATTTGTAATGATACCAGCATTTGTCAAATCTTTGAACTGATGTCCTTGAACGAGACTTTAACCGAGAATGCCAGCAAGACTTTGAACGCGAATGCGAACGAGAACGTTGACTTCTGACTGCACCCGCCAGTTCTGACGTGCAAGCCTCGCGACGCGAAAATCTTTGTTCCAGAGCGGCAACGGCTGGATCGGCAACAGGGGAAACAGCAGTGATACTTGGTGATGATAATATTTCCTGTAATTTACCTGTAAGCGCCGCCATTTTGTCGAGGGTAGAATCTGCTTGCATCGCCAGGATTGATTGTGTGTTCGGCGGCAAGCGTGAAAGCCATGTTGTATTCAAAATATTCTCTGGAATGGTATCCACAAGGGATTTTAAATGTCGTAAAAATTGTGAGGGCTTACGATCACCGAGAACCTCTTTGTCCAGGAGCTGGTGTCATCTGACTTCCTGGGAAGCGGTGAGTCTCTCAACGAGGGCGTCCCTTAATGCCTTGTACGGAGTCTGAGATGGTGGATACAGGGTAATATCCTGGACCTCGGCTGCAGCAGCGCTATCTAGATGAATGGCAGCCATATGGAATTTGTCCACTTCATCCTCGATGCCGGCAAGGTGAAATTGCCCTTCGAGCTGAGCAAACCAGAGTTCAGGGCGCTCAGCGAAAAATGGTGCAGGGCGAACTATAAGGCATCTCAATGCCTGAGTTGTGTCAGCTTCCTCACCCATTTTCACTAAATTTCACTAAAAATGTTCGAAAGTGCGCTAATCACGGCAAAATTGTTCGTGATAATTTTCACGGTGCAGCACAACGTCTTTGGGTGCTCTGCGATGCACCAAGACGCACGAAAAAAAATATAACACGTCGTAACACAGTGCGCGAAACGATAGGACCGCTACCGAGCACTATGCCAAAACACAACGCTTCTTGAACATTCCACGAAAAACCACGCGACACGAAAATCACTTCAATTTTAATGGAAAACGGCACAACTTTAACGATTGCCTTTGTTCACACGTCAATGCGACAACTTTATTCGTCACGTTGAAGGAATCACGTCGGGGTCACCATTTGTGGGAGTTCGGTGAGGGATAGATGGGTTTGTAACGTATAACAATCGGAATTCGTGTACTATATCGAATAAGATTTATTCACAGCAATGTAACTTAGTTTACACCATGAGAGCTGGAGGGAGAGTGTGAGCTCCCGCGACAAAGGTATCAGATCGAGCATGTCCGAATTATTACGAATTGTCGCGAGGTGACGTACTAAGGTATTCGGTTGCTAATCCAAGCTCGAATACAATAGATTGAAATAATGCGAAATAAATATATAAGTAGCTTCGCTACAGCCATCATTTGAGGATTGGTCTTCAGTGGACACCGACTTAATATTTCTAGACTATGTTTGCTTCCTAATGGAAGCATTGTAATCGTTCAAATTTAAGTTTTGGTTTTTCCATGTTACATCGACCCATTATGATCCAAAAGTTCGAAAATGCAATTTTTAGCCGTGTCCGTATATTTGTTTACGTATATGTATGTGCGTACGAATGTAAACAAATTTTTCTTCGATTGTTCGCTATATAATCGATGAAGTTGCATTTTTTGTCTTCCTTCCATATAGGTATAGTTGAGCTCCATCAATCGTCATTAATTAAAATTTAATGCATTTATTAATTTTTAAACTTTTAAAATTTTTCTAAAATTGTTTTATCACGATAACTTAAAAAAATGGTCTGAATTTATTTAATGATCGCTTAATAAATTTGTTTGGATGTCCTTTTGACCGAGTTCGAAGATGAAGACGATAGCAATAATAGTTATTCTGATTTATTTGAATATTTTCAAAGATGCTGTACTTTTTAGAAATTAGAATTCCCGGGATATCTTTGCATATCACGCATCAATTGAATTCAATCATCGCTTAAAATGTTTGGTTTAATTTCATTATGTCAAAAATAATCGATGATTACGAAAGCAATATTAGTTGATTTGATTTTTATGATGATTGTTGAAAATTTCGAATTTTTCATGAATTTATCTGAAAGTGAGCTTTCTGATGGTTTCTTCAAATATGATGTTTCAAATTCATTCAATTATATATCAATAACATTTTTTTATCAAAATTTTATCAAAGAGCTGAGGGGAGAGATAGAGATGTAAAGAAGACAATTGGTTATAAAGAAAAAATGGATAATAAGAATAATGATGATACCATTCGACTAAGTTGAAAATCCAATAAAATTAGTTGAAAAGAAATCTTATTCAATTTAATCAAATGAAATAAACAATGTATTATACATGATGGATGGAAATTATGTGCAAAATAACCATTCGAAAATATATTGGTAATTTATTAGCAAAAATCACTATAGTATATTCAATTCAAGAGTAATCGCCCACTTGTTTTATTACATATCAGCTTATCATCATAGTTTTTGTGAATTTGAAAAATTGAGGAGCATGTTAATAGTGATTATATCAGGCCGTCCAAATATGGTTGTTTATAGTTAGATCATATACTCATTATTATATCCAGTTATTACAAATAAATTAATTATTGGTAAACCATGAATTTGTCAGTATGATTCAAACAATTGTTGATAATTGTATTGCTGGACACAGGGAAAGGTGGGTAAACACCTCGTATCGAATCCCACTATAATTTCGCTTTCAAAGAGGGAATTTCCCAGTCAACACCAGCACTGGCGCTGACCCATATTAGATATATAGCATACCTTGCCCCACTCGTTTGTCGCTCCCCGATAGAATATACCGGTTCGATTGTAAAAGTAGCTTATTTTTTCCGAATTTCACACGTATTTCTCACATTCGTGTAATGGACCACTGCCCTCTGATTGGACAAATTTTTCAGCTTCCCGATAGGAAGTTATTGGTTTCATCCCGGAAATGAAAAATCGTAATTTCATGAAATGTCTACGTTTCATGATGAGTAGAAGCTTCCCAGATGGTTTTTAGGAAAGTGTATGAGTGTGTGTGTGTGTGTGTGTGTGTGTGTGCAGCCATTTTTTTCGTTGACATTCCCGGGTGAACGCGTGGTGCGACCAAAACGAAGTTGATCGCGATCGATAGACATTAACTTACTTAAGACTGGGTCAGGTTGGGAGAAAAAACCCCCCACCCCTTTTTGAGTTTTTCAAAAAAGAAGCCTCAAAATTGAAATTTGGGAAATTGGAATTTGTAAGAACTGAAATATTCCCTAAGAAAGTTCCGAATTTCCAATTTAGAATTTTAACTCGCATCGGGAAGTTATACATGCTTCCCGAAGAAACACAGAGCAAATTTTAAATATCAAATATCAAATATCAAACATCAAATATCAAATATCAAATATCAAACATCAAATATCAAATTTTAAATTGCAAATTTTAAACTTTAAACTTCAAACTTCAAATTTCAAATGTCAAATTTCAAATTCTTTTTACGGCCTTTTGACTCCCTTTTTTGGGTATCATTTCGGCACTCTATATTCAACCCTATGCATGCGACTGTGGATTCTACACTGTGCGGCATTCCCACTCCTATAGAATATAGGTGTAGCATGGGGAACCACAGGAAACTCATGCCGGTACAAGCGGTGACTCTATTAGCAACCCCTCGCTGGCCAGAGCCTTCTGTTGAAAAATTCGGTTCCACTGAGAATCGAACTTACCACTCTTCGCACACTAGACTTGCGCCTAGCCCATTCCGCCGCCGCCGTGAGTGGACAAAATTAGAACGTCGAAAATTATCAATAAGTTTGAAGGTCTTGAAATATTATATCGCACAGAGCTTGATTGTAGGCGCTTGTACAGTACTTTTTTCAGAGTAATCCGTTTTTAATACTAAACAGTGATAAGGACGATAGTCGTTGTTTAATCATAGTTTTGCAAAGTCTTTTCTGTACCATTATTATTTTTTTTCCGAACGAATGTGTACTACTACAATTAGAGAACATCAATATGAGGAAAATCCTCAAAACTATCTGCATGCTGTTGCTGTTATTGGCAAGGATCTTGTTGTAGTGCCTAATTATTCATTGGGACTACGTTCGCTGATTTTCATGTCAAATCTATCGAGACAACAGGAGTATCCGATTTGATTGCAGGCTTAGAGATAGTAATGCAAAGGGAATTCAATTCAGGAATTTTTGAAGAATTTTTCAGGTCTTCATTCGCTTCATTAGCAGATTACTCCCTCTTTTCTTTTCACCTTCGGTATGCTCGAGGAATTTCATGATGATCAGACAAGTGGTTCTTAATTTTCTCATAGAAAGTTGTATTTCTCAATGTGATACTTTTGAATATACAGAGTGTTTCATTTGAAAGAGAACGGCTTGATACTTTTTGTAGGAAGGAAGCGACAGCAAAACTGTTCTGGGGTTCGGAGGCGGAAACTCAGTGCTAATGGAATCAAGGCCCCCGTCGCTTATGTTTCTATGCTACGGGCATGAAGTCAGTTTTCGTAAATGACAAAAGTTGTTCGTCTTGCCGTGAGAAGTTCACTAACCAGCCTCGCATAGTGATTTCTTATGAAATTCACTTCGTGCATACATGCAAAAGATGGTAGACCATGTGGAAAGACAATATAATTTTTTTTCAGATTTTTTGAGACGTTTTTGGAGCACATAAATAATTCAAAGTTTCACGCAAATATTTGACCTTGTGGCAGTTCATAGTTATGAGGTTTGGTGAAAATTCAAATGGTTTTACGACGGTCTGTGTCAGGTAGCGAGTGCCCCTTCGTGTTACTGGAAATTTTTTCAAGCAGTAATTCACAAATCTGCCCGGGCCGGTCGACCGTACTAACTGGAACTACGTTTCTATGCAGCGTTTGAAAAATGGATAATAATTTTTCTGATTTGTCTAAGAAAAATGAGTAGTGAATTTTAATGATTATGTTCCTTAATTTTTAGATGCCAGCATTGTTATTCTTGTTATTGTTATTCTATCTTCAATAGATCGTTTCGAAGCGGAACATCATATTCTGAATTAGCAAGGAGAGAAGAAATAAGCCGTTTGATTAAAGAAAAATTACTACAATGACTTTTGCAAAAGGACAGAAACCAATATGGGTATGTCGCAGACGCGAAAACTTTGCTCTGCCTCTCTTTCCTCAGTTTTACCCTATTCGTCACTTCTTTTTGTTTTGCTAATAAAGAAACAAGATTAATTGCTGAGATAATTTTTCCTCTCTGTAAAATAATTTGCAGAGACCCCTTCAAAACAGTTTGTCATATTTTCCGTAGGATTTCCTTCCAACGAGATCGGATTTATTGATGGGCGTACTTGGGTAATCTGAATTTCTGCATGCAACGTAGTAATAAATTTCAAGAATTTTTCCTCAAAGTAAAAAATTTGTGGATATGTATTGGGAGTCATTTAGTCAAACAGTATACGAATATTACCTGAGGCTCGGGCAAACCTTAATAACTTATCACAACTATTCGAGAAATTAGGCGGCAGGCCAAACTTGTCATCCATTTGTCATTTAGGTTTAGAAAGGAAGCTCCCCACCTACTTTGTCCATCTAATGAAATAACTTCTGACAATTTTCTTTTATGTATTAGAGGTCAGACAGAACAAGACTTCCAAACTGTTGACATCACAGCAATCGCCACTACAATTGTTCCCTTACAATAAATATTTTTGAATAAAGATATACGAATATCCCGGAAACGCGACAAAATATGGTAGTTCCGTTGGTCGGTAACGTAACTCCTGGAATTTGTGCTAACCAGTTGCCTTCGAACAGGCAGATTCTAAAATATTACTTCTATTATATACGACATAGTACGCCAAAACTCAGTATTCGCGAAGCTCTGAAGTGTGTTTTGCAAATGTATATGATGTTCTGGGAGTAGAGATTCCCGTCATCTACCAGGCTCACGCGGTTAAGAAGGTGGAAAAGTTAGTGTAAGAGTAGAAAACTATCCTCAAATTTGGTACTCTGAACGAAAAATATGACAATTATTAAGTGCAAGAGACTAAATTTAAATGCGAGCTGGACGATCTATTTGATATTGCTCATCGAAAACAAGTGAGTATTCTGAGAAACAAAGCAGTAAAGACACTACTGACCCCCCACCAAGAAAGAAGATGAAGTGGGTGTTTAGATAGAATTATCGATACAGGGACTTGGACCCTTCTTGACGTACAAAAAGCGATAAAAGGAGAAAAAACTGAGTTATTCAAATAAGGTACGCCGCTACAAACCATGAATTTTCGCATTATTCGAATAAAATGAAGAATGTCTCTTTCTAGAATTCAGAATTTTTTGAATGCCATTCCATCAATTTTCATTTCATTTTGTTTTGAAGTCCAATAAGGTGGAATTGCCACGGACTTGGGAAATTACGTTTTCGACGGAGATGAGGAAGCTTTCGATGAAATTTTAAGACAGATAGAGTTCGGCGATGAGGGTGACGAGACGGACAGTGACTTCAACATTTCATCGGCGGCCATGACATCTAAAAAACGCAAAGTACTTACTCCAAGTATTACGGCGGTTTTGGTTAGAGCCAAAATTAGCCATCGGATGGCCGCACGAGTACTAGCAGCCATTCTGATTGCACTCGGGATTAGTTTGGAAGAAGTTCATTTGAGCCGTGAGTCTGTTCGTCGAGATCGACGGAAACATCGTGACTCTGAATAATAGCATTTGAAATAATGCGAACAACAGACCGTGTCATGTTTTATGTGGTCATTGGGACGGCAAACAACTATCGTCTTTAGAGAATAAAGATGAAAAAATTGATTGCCTTCCAGTTCTGGTATCGGGTCATGAATGGCATCAATTGCTCGGGGTACCTGGACTCGACCGAGGAACTGGAGCAAGCTAATGCTGCATACAATTCCTTGAAAGAATTTGATCACCTCGATGATGTACGCGCCATGGTTTTCGACACTATTGCAAGCAACACCGGCAGTACGAATGGTGCATGCATCTTACTGGAAAAATTACTCGAACAGGATCTTTTATATTTGGCCTTCCGTCACCATATTTTTGAAATTCCACTGAAAACAGCTTTTGAAACATCAATGCAGAGTACTTCTGGACCTGATGTCCCAATTCTTAAGAGGTTCCAAGGACAATAGAAGAATATCAACAAAACTGAATTATTCCCAGGAGTATGCGACGTTATGGTAAAAGAAGCAGTGCATGAGAATTTGGCAGAGATCCTCGCGTTCGCGGATATATAATTGAAGCTTAGTTATAATATCAGGTTTATGAGCGAGACCGCCAATTCTGCAAATGAAAAATTGCGTCGAAATTTTGAAGGTTGTTTCTATTCTTTAGCGAAAAGTATAGTCCAAAAGAAGAAAAACGAGCGCAACCAGAGCTCTCTATCTGAATAATTGATGAAGATATTAAAGATTGATTTTGTTTTCTTCTGAATTTTTTTTTCCATTCTAAATACGAGCCGCTAAGATGAACAAAAAAAATTAAATCATTGATTTTGTCAGAAATTTTCTCAGTTTTTCGAAAAAAATATTTTTTTAAAATATATCTTTATATTTTGGCATGCAAAACTCAAAAAGAAAGTTTCAAACGGTCATTTGGGGGCGTTCCCCACCCTTGATTGTATTATTCATCGGAAAGTTCAGAAAATTATTAAAAATATTTTTAATTCCGATGCTCTGAAGAGTTCAGAGGTGGAATGGAGAAAAAAAGAAAATTAGTTTCCGAAAATATCTCTGAATCTAAAGGAGACGGAGAAAGTTTTGAATACATCTTTTTGTATAACAGAATGGGATCTACAAAACAAGTTTATATGAAATTTTTTCCATCCGTCGTAGATTCAGAGATATTCATTAAAAAAATATCTTCAGATTCAGTTGCCAATTAGACAGAATACATAAAAAGTGACATTTTACGAAGCTTTGCGAAGCTCTGCCAAGTTTTACGCACTCGAAATTCAATTTACGCACGCTCCAAAACTTAACGCACTTGTGTACAAAAACAACCATTTTACCCTCACTACCGTTTCAAACAGTAAACTCGACAATTATTATAAAAGCAGGATGTGCTACACTAGTAACACACTATACTATTGTTTTTTCAAAAAGCTGAGAAAATTTCCGACAAAATCTGTGTGTTCCAATTTTTTTTTGTTCTCTGCAGCTCGTAATTAGAATTGAAAAAAAAAATTTAGTAAAGACCAAAATTATATCTTCCGTATCTCCGCCAATGATTGTATTCTTTTGGACTATACTGTCCAAAATGGAAAAAGCTTTTAAAATTTTGAGGCAATTTTTCATATAAAGAATTGATAGATTCCCTCTTATCTATTTAACTTGCATTGGTGAGTTTTTTTTCCCACACTGTTCAGTTGTATGAACCTAGGAAAATGACTATTAATAATGGAACACAATTTTTCTATATATGTTACAAGATAAAAATATCCGTAGAGATTACAGAGAATTTCTTGAGCTGGTGGTAATTTTTCTCGGCGGGTATTTGCCAAGAGGGAATCGTTTTCGAGCTTTGGGCCCCATCATCATGCGCGGTGGATGTCCAAAGTTATCTTTCGCTGAAAAATTTGCAGTTTAGAGAGCAGTTTCAGCTCACATCTCATGAAAAATCAGGTCTCAAGGAAACGTTCATTTTCATCGTTCTCGTCTATCAGAGGGCCTGGTTCACAGCTTCCCATGCAGTAATAGCTCCGAAAAATGATCTACATTTGTCAAAACAGCGGCTAATTCCCACTGTTCCAGCCCTGTCTCATCAGAGATCTGGAAAGACGTATTCGACAAATTTCTCAAGCATCTCTGGTATTTATCGGAGGAGTTAATTGCTTTGGCTTTTTTTACGAAAGCATAAGTTTAGATTTAAAGAGAAAAATGTGTCAGGCAATTAAAACTAGTTCTGCGCTCAGTAACGATAAAAAAAAAGGAAGACGGGTATTTATAATTCCAAATTTATTGAAGAATTGAGCTTAGATTCCTTCGTTCCGAAAAATACAATTCAATTCTTCGAAATTTTGAAAATTGCTTGCAATTTCCTCGATAGTGATCCGATGACATGGGAGAAAAGACATGATTTTGTCACTGCCTCCAAAATCGTCCGATTTCTTTATGTCACCAATGATATTGCTGAAAGAAGTGTCCCTCTCGTAAGTGAGTATAACAATTTACTTACGAAAGATGAAAGCAGCAAACCAAATTTAATGCGAGTTGTAAATAAACTCCGCGAAGCATCGTCAGGATGTAATAAAGAAGACTCGAAGTTTTCGTTGAAAAATTAGTTGAATAATAAACCAACGGAGATTTCAAGCACTGTATCGTAAGGATATTCAAGTATTTCACAGTTTGGTATGGACCATACTTAGATTCAACCATTTTCAATCACCAAATTTGAGAAAAATGTGAGAAAAATTTTGAAAAAAAAATCACCAATGTTCAGCGTCATTCAAATTACATTTTGCATCGAATTATTATTTTTTAAACATTCGTTGTTTATAAATAAATAATTGAAATTGGTTCAACGTTGGGAAACCTTATTCTTTTAAGCATGAAATCGATTTTTGGCAATATTATGAATATGAATAAATTTGTTAGAATTCCGAACATATGATTTATGTGGTGGAAAATTGATTGTTTATAAATTATGTGTAAAAAATGCTCGTAATTCTCAAAAATTGCAATTTTTAAATTATTTCATAAATCCTCTTCTCAAAGTAAGCTTTCCAATTTCTTTCAGATTTGGAAAATGTTTTCTAACGGTTCAATACCGAGGTTCATATTCAGATCTGCAAAGTTTAAATGATAAAATTATTGTAAAATATCCGGAAACTCAGGGTCAAATGGAACTTAAATGAAAGCTCTGATGTTCGACTACAGTAAAAAAGTATTTCATTGAAGAAAAAACAGCCAAAGTACTTACATATCCTTAAAATTATCATTTCATGAATTAAGCAATTGGAATAAAAACGCCTGCTGTAAAAATTCATAATTTTGTTATAAATAAAGAATGAAATCTAAATTTTTCACTCAAAATGTGAAAAACATAATAAAAAATACTGGCACTCATCTCATTACAATTTTCCGTACAGTTTTTTTTATATATTAATAATAATCTGTAAAAATTGACGAAAAACCGGAACAAAAACATAGATGGCAACGTCGGAAAGGTTAGGGTGTTCACTCCACGCGCTTCCCGCCTATTACTTGAACGTACAGTGTTGCCATGAGTATTTGCCAGCTAGTCGACTGAAATACAATTTATTGATCTTTCTATTTTAATAAATTGAAAAATGTTATAATTCCTGGAATGATAACCTCTACTATGCATGTTAATAATTTAAAAAATTAGTCAATAATTTTGAAAAATTGTTTGAAAATTAGTTTTGGACAATATCTCGGAATGCAAAGAACGTAGAGGGGTTTTCGTAATTACCGTTTTAGTAGATCTCATTTTTTCCTACAAGAAAGTTCTTATCAAGAAATCGATATTTTGCTTCAATCCTGAGGTATTGGATAGTCTCATAAGAACTTTTGAAACGTTATGCTGCCCCAAAAACGTCTCAAAAAATCTGAAAAAATTTATATTGTCTTTCCACATAGCCTACCATCGTTTGCATACATACACGAAGTGAATTTCATAAGAGATCACTACGGGAGGCTTGCTAAAGTTCACTTAGACCATATTTTCGGATGACGTCATCGTTATTTTGACTATCTTACAGGTTTTATTCCACATACTGCACATTAAGAAGACAAGAGTTTTTGAGAAGTACGTTTTTACGTCTATCAAGAAATTCAGGGCTCCAAAAATTCTCAAACGTACAATATCTCACACTATGGAAAACATATCTTACGCCAAAACTTTTTATATTTGTCCGAAAGACGAGGGTAATTGGATTATATCAAGAAAACGATTTCTCAAATCAGTTCACGTGATTTTGCATTAAAATATTGCAGAATTGAGACTAAAAAAGTATTAAATGGATTAATTCAATTTACCATGGTATGATAAATCGGTTTTTCATTTTTATTGTGGATCCTTACCTTTTAAAGCGTTAGGCGCATGCGCATCTATCGTTCAGCTTACCGTGCAGATATTTTTAATATTTATTAGTAAATGATGAAGGGGATGAAAAATAGATTGCACCTCTATTGATCACAGGACAATTGATCACAGAAAAAGAATCACAGAATAATTAGATCATCAAGAAAATACATCACACCATATTAAATTATCAGTAATTCAGTGTATTTAGCGTATATTTAATTGCGATGAAAAAAAAACATGAAAAACATGAACGGGTCAAATTTTAGAGTATTTAAAAATTCACTAGAATCCATTGAGTTGTCGGGTTGGATAAGCAAGACGTTGTGTAAGCAAGAACGTTGCACTTTTTGGATTTGTAATCCATACATCTCCAAGTGATAGTCTTCATTGAGGCATTTTCATGATATTTATTAAACAAATAGCCTTTGTGTAACAACAATTTACAGCCTCTCTGACTTAAAACGAAGGCAGAGGCATGACGCATAATTACACATACACCACATCAAAACTAAACGACAACTAGAATCGAGTAACAAGTAATGCGGAATAATAACTTCCCTATCTTTAAATACCACTATATTATTTTCTGCTATAGTCCCGTGATCAAAATAACTTGTGATAGAAGGATTTGTGGTGACTTGTCCAGGTGATCTAATTTGTGATCATTTGTCCCGTAATCAACTGTACCCGTGATTAGTAGGGGTGATACCGAAAAATAATAAGATAAGAAATTTGAAGAATACCAACTATCATATTTATTACTTTTGAAGATTCTCGAACTCAAAAGAAATCAAAGTAGAGAGAGAATTCGATCGACGCAAAGAAATGATCAACAGATTTTAATTTGATTTAATTTGAAAAGGCCAAAAGAAATAGATTATTCTTGTGAATTTTATACGAACTAAAGTTATAATACTCCAAAGTAGTTCCCGGTAGGATTTTATGTAGTTTGTGAGCAGTATTTTCAGTTTCACATTGATTTCACTCAATTCCTGATAGATTTAAATTACTTATAGCACTAGAAATTGTTTTTTCTTTGGGAATTGAACCGATTCATTTCAATGTTTTTATATTCAAAATTTAAAAGTTCAATTCTAAGTTTAATGATTCTGCCACTGTGTCCTTGTACTTATTTTACGAAAACACAGTAAACGATTTGCAGTTCACCGACCGTTTTCCCTCAGAGTCAACCCTTTACGTAGGTGTGCGTATTTGGTGTTGCTCAGATTACTCGGGTTATCCTACGGAACATCGGCAACAACTTGGAAATTATTCCGAAATTACGATCGCGAGGGTACAGCCCGAGCAGTTCACTCTATTTGATCCGCACTGTTTTGGCGATTAGGCATGACTAAAGAAAAATTTCAAAGGAATGAATTTAGTGGCCGAAAAAACAGTGCAATTGCGCTGCGTTTGCAATTTTGGGAATTTCACGGCCGCGTGTAGCGTATTAGCTCGGTAATTTGACCTGCATCAACAGCAACTCAGTATCCAGTGGGCAACAAATAAGTCCAAATTATTGAGATGATAAAATTCTGAATAAACTTAATTTTGAAGATAATTCCAAACATGACAACAATAAGTGTAAAAGTGCTTGGAGACAGTTTTTCCTCCGTAGTGCAAAATATATTGCCCTTGAAAATTTTCAAGCCACGAGTTTCTTAATATAAGTAAAGATGTACTGCTCAAAAAATTTTGTTTTTCTCAGTGCAGATGTATTTTCATGTAGGTATCGGGAACAGTCATTGCAGAAGATGTTCCGCGCTACCGCCATTAATCGCAAGGCACAATTCCAGTCGACTTGGAAATTTCGAACAGATCGAAGGACTTTCACTTAACCCCATAATCAAAAATCGAGTGGTGTGAGGTCAGCAGATCAAGGTGGCCACGGAACAAAACCACCGCGACCGATATAACGATTGGGGAAAACAATGTTTAGATGATCTCTCGCAGACAGAGCGAAGTTCGGCGGTGCACCGACTTGCTTGAAAGATACCCACTGTCTATTTGCTAACATATCGTAATGACATAATAACATTCCACGGTTCAAACGTGGCAAGGTAGTCCGAATAAAGATATTTCTCATTTGATTTTTGTACGATTATTTATGTAAAAACGATGGCGTCATCGGGCAGAATGGTATGATTGAAGTTTTCTGGACAAGACTAACAACTTTTGTAAGGGTGAAAAATGCTGTTGTCATTTAAGAAAACTGATTTCATTCAAATGAATCACAAGTGTAATCTCTATCACACTGAGAGGAAAACGAACAAGTTTTCAAGCAATTCTTGTTTGAGCCAACAAAATCGTTAGTTGAATATCACAAAAAAAAAAAATTGTTCGATTTGAATTTGAAAATCTCAAACATGAATAATTGCTCTGCTTTCAACAGCAACAGAATATTTATTTCAAATGGTGGATCATTTATACAAGGTGACGCCATTTTAGGTTAAAAATATCTTTTCTGCGACGGCGGGTGTAAAGTGCACATTTCTCACCCGCTTCGCGGGAGGAAAATCTGACTTTACCCCTACGCCGCGACGGAAAATATCCCCCTGATGACGGAAGGTTTAATAAAGGACCCTTACCCACGTGCTTACCACCCTGGCTTTCGGCTCGGATAGTAATCCTGCATATGGGTACGATTCCTTTATTTTCCCTCCTCAGGTAGGGAATATACTATTTTGATCATTGTTAAAAAACAATTGTTTCGACACAAGTAAGACTTATTTGAGAACTGCGGGTTTTCCATCAGTGTACATTCCAATCACTACTGTACAGGGGCGACTGATTATTGATCAACATATACTCTAAGAGAATAGACCAGTATTTCGTTCAACTTTTCTATATTTATTCAAATTGAGCCTCGAGATCAAATTTCATCTAGACAGTGCACCTGTGTGCTCGGTGCAGTGTTTTGTGAGACGTGGGCACGAATCCTTTATTTTTCCTCCCTAGGGTAGAAATATACTAATGTGGAACTTGGATATGATTATTGGAATTCGCGCCCTTGTTGTATAATGTGCTATGCTTATATCCATCTCATCAGTTAGTCATTATCAAGATGTATCAATAATTAAAGAAATATGAGTTTTAGTACTTCACCACTAAATTTACATTTAGTATGGCTAATTTTACTACTTTGTTAGTGGATTCAGAAGTGAAAAATTCTCTTTACCTTCTATTCTGGTACCAAGTTTTCACTTGGGTTTCAGACAACGACAATGCATCAGCCACGTCACTACGGTCGGCGACACTAAGGTACTTCTGACACCTGAATTTACGTTCTAAATATGCCAATTGTGCATGAGTGAATGCAGTGCGTCTTCGTCGAGGCTTTCGACCGCTAGTGACATTGCCGGAAGGTCCACAATTCTGGGCAGAGCCCGATGAAGGAGAAAGCACGGGCGGGGGGCTCTCCAATCGAGTACAGGGGCTGTGCCCAGGGTCTATCGTATCCTCAGAATCCGAATGAAGTGCAGAATCATCTTCCGAGTCATCTAGGATTTAACACAAGCACTTTATTGAATTTTCATGTCAATTGTCATAACAAAAAACGTTCTTATTCTGGCTTTCACTAATGAGCCTGTTAAAACCGCTTGAGCCATCTGCGGAATCGAGGACAAATTTTCGTTTCTAATAGAAAGAATTGAGCCCCCCGCAGTCACATAGTTATTGAGATGGAACCGCAGGGAACAGTCCCGCTTAACGAGATGTATTGCCCCCTTGGCAAGAGCCACGCGACTGACTCGGATGATTTTTATTTCATGTTTTATTCCACACAAATTGACTCCCATTGACTGTTTCAATCGCTTATTGATCGTTAATTTTTGAATATTCAATATGTGGGAGGTAGTACACATAATAAGATGAGTTTACTGAACTTCCAATTGTTCTTGATGAATATGTCCAAACCTAAGGGGGTAGGCAAGTTTTTCCGTAGAACCGTTTTGTAGCTATCACTTTACCCCAAGAAGAAGAATTTGATATGTCACAAAGAAAGTTGCTTATGAAATTTTGCATCTCTATATTTGTTGAGAGGATATTCTCATAGAAAGAAAACAGATTTAGTAATTGAATTAATAGATTTCATTTCATTATTCTCTGACTGAAATAATTATCAACTCACCTTGAACACGTTCACCCAATACATCCCCAAGGAGATCTCTTATCAAGAAAGATTTATGTTCTTGCATGGTAACTCACTGGATGCAAATCAAGAGTTAATGCAGAGAATTTAACAAATTGAGTTAATCATGGGTTAGTCCCTTGCCATTCATCAATTTATTTCGATTTTTCGAATGTTCCAGTAACTTTATAAATCTACTTATGGTTAATTGATGATGACCATAGCAGCTCAACTTTTATTGGAACGACTGGGCACTTCCATAAGAATGACACCACCGCGAATAATCTAATTGGTTATTGAAAGTCAAAACACCGAATCTCATCCTTCAGCTGGAGCTCACAGTTCATAGATATCTTCTGCTTTCCACCCAACTTGTAAAACATTTTAGAATAACTTTAAAACTAGAAGTATCCCACACACTGTGCACGTTCGCTTACTGAGGTGATGTTTTCTCCTCAAATTAATCCATCCGTTTATTTTGAAACGGCGCTTCTAATACCCGCGTGATTTCTTTGCAGCCATTTTCGGGGTGGATGCGATAACTACATCATGGCCGAGAGTCGCAGCAAGCCATTGGTGGATTTGTTTCCGGTTGGTGGGATGAGTTGGAGTGAGGTGTCTTCGGGATTGGTGGAGAGCGTGGCACAGGGATGCTGATTGGTTAGATGGTGGTATCTGATAGGGGTGGAAGCCTTAAAGGGAAATACGTTAGAGGGGATGGATAAAATGTGAGGTAATGCGCAACAACAAATTATCCCTATAATTGATCAGAGGTCAAAAGATTTCATAGGCATTCCTCTCCTTCTAATTTCACTTTCCATTAACAATTTTTTTAGTCTTATTTTTATCCACAGATTGTATGAGTTCGTGATTGGAATAGAATCTTGGAATGAAATTTATAATCGAGAAGAATTTCCAGAGATCATGCCGAAGTTTAGTGTGAAAACAATTGCGAACGTATTTTCATTTCCCCTTGGTTAATGGAAGACTGACTTGTGATCGTAAATAATCATATACCTCCATATCGATTCTCGTAAAACTTATGCAGATTTTTTCGCTGCATCTTGTTAGGTTTGTGAATTTTAGATACTATGATGCTTTCATGTGCTATCATCGCTGCCAGATGCATACTCTGCTGTCGCTATGAAGCGCAATCCGAGTGCACATTCAATCTATTTTATGATGTATACAGATAATATTCTTTGATAGAAAGCATTGGTGAATACGAACATTTTCATCTGAAAAGGTAAAAAAGCACTTCTTATATTTCATGCTTTTCTCTCCACACTTGGATATGTAGTCAAAAATGTATTCAAAATTACACTGATACCTAAGGTACACCTCCGGATAGACATTTATGTCGTTGGGCGCGAAAACCGCGATCCAACCGAGCGAAGCGAGATAACGACATAAAATAACGTATATCACACGGCGATAAAGGCATTATTTGGCGAATGTAATTATAATCAATATTTTAAGCCACATTCGCCAGATAATACTTTTATCGCCTAATGACATAAGATACTATTACCGAATCCCTGTTCACGACCGTTATGACAAAATAGTATATTCTGCACCAAGGGCAAAAAGTCATGTTTTTCTCGTCTGAGATGCAAATGCTATGTTTTAATAGGCCTCCAAAGAAAAGGTTGTATTTTGTTTCCTGATCAGCGGAATGAAAGCACTCACTTTCTTGCTGCTTATCAGGGGGCAAAGTACGAAATTTCCGTGCAGGTATGGGAAAAATCATAGGTGTTACTCTGCCGAAAATAGTATATTTCAGGGCGAGTGCCATACCTAGGTATGAAAAAAACGAATGGGCTGAGCTCGGTTTGACCATGGCACCTAGGCTACCAGAGTTTGGGGCCCATTCTTCAGCCGAGACTGCGCCGGCCTTGGTTGAAACCTCGAATGATAAGATGGAACCAGGTCTGGCCGTGGATCTCGGCCAAGCGTTGGTTGCCAGTCGTTGGCCAGACTCAATTAATCTTTACTTAATTACGTGAATGTGATATGAGTGATTGACATAGAACTAATTCAAGATTATTCCTGAGCTTTCATGAATGGTTGAAGGAGGAAAAACATTCAATACCTGCATGCGATTCATACGGGCTTTGCTGCCAAACGATTCGTGATAATTATTAATAAAAACAACAAAATAATTAATGCTTTTTAGCACCACTTTTACCATTAATTGTGCCCTAGCTACCAAATTCTAACACAATTATCGTTGAAAGGCCGAATTTGATACTTTAAACGATTACCTTGTTTAAGCTCGAACCTATGACCTCACGATTACTAATACGACGTCCTAACCACTAGCCTATTGCGTAATTCGTAAAATCTCTACTTCATATCGTCTCTATTATTCCCGCCTCGGGTTTTCTTCGATTTGACTCTTTTACTAGTCACTTCATAAAGATATGGAGTAACCTAACCATAGGTCGATTGGAAATCTGAACTTAACGCGGCTCAAGCGTAGCTATATATGTTGAGAAAAGTAGAGATTTTTTGAGACATCCCCACGCTCTTTTGACTGATCCAAGAAATATGATCCTTAGCTAGAAATGAACCTTGCTTGATCTTATCGCGGCTAAATGGGATCATAGGTCCTTTCTCAGTTGAAAAAATAGGGTCAATCTTAATGCAGATTGGTACATTTTTTAGCTATGTAAAGATTTCTTATTTATTTCAATCGCAGCTAGATGGAGTAAGGTATATTTTTAGCTAAAGATCATATTTTTGGTTCACTCATAAAAGCGTGAGGATGTCCCAAAAAATCACCCCCTTTTCAATGATATAGCTACGTTCAAATCACATTAACCCTCAAAAGCGGCAAAAAGCTGGATGTGAAATATACAGGACAAGTATTTTTGGACGATAGAAAAATAATATTTCGGATATGTATTTTTTATAATTTCGAAATATTTTGCATATAAAATATAAATTAAACAAATATGTGAAATATCTATCCATTTATACATGATGCACATTTTAAATATATGCGAAATATATTTCCGCTATAGAAAAAATATATTTTAAAATGTATGTTATTTATGTATGAAATATATGCGATACATCGAACATGTATTTGCGAATATTTGTGGAATGTATTATTTATTTTTATTTTTAACGGAATTTATTGCAAGTTCCAAGGAACTTGTAACTGGCCATCGCCCGGGGGCCTTCAGCCAAGTATTTATATTTTATGTACCTAATAATTGATACAAAAAGAAAGAGCCAGTTTGTGTGCTCATTTTACTGGATAATCATCCAGAAATGGAAGATAGTTTTTACAAGATTGAGTGCATCATGAGATGGTACAGTATAAAACGATGATATGAGGAGTGAGGAGTTACAGAATTTCACAATTTATTGTTGGAGGTGAACAAGGCCTCCCCAGGAGTTAGAGCCCTTATTCTCCCTTCGGATGGTTTCGACTCTCAATTAAGGTGTGCTGAGGGTATTTGTAACGAGACCTGATCCTAGGATTGTGTTTGTGGCAGATGTCACGGATATGGCACAGTTTGTTAAGAGCAAAACAATGGGCATAACCTAGTATTGACCCGCAAATTGGTTTGTATTTTTTTTTGTACTGTGGTCGATGTTGAGCCCTTTACCTTATAGGTACGGCCACGGAACTTCACGCCTCGAGCAATGCATTATTTTTCTATGATGTTCGCAGGGGCTTTAAAGTTGAGATTGTTGTCAACTTTAACCCCGAGATATCTGGTATGGAGACAGGGAGCCATGAGGATATGTTGGAGATGATATGAGCAGATCGGCGTAAAATTCGAAACCCAAAAAAATTGTTGTCTGGGCTTTTCTGCCCGACTTTCTTCTAGAAAGTTTGGCATCAGACAAACATTTTGAAATTTTTTTTTTTGAAAAATACTGATAATTGCGGGTATGATTTTTCAAAAATTTCCATTTTTTTCGATAAAAATTTTATTTTCACATTATTACCAATATGCCAGGCCCCTTCAGAGCTATTAAAATTCTTTTCAGCAGACTCAAAGAACATGAAAAGATCTTCAAAATGAGACATGTCTCGCTGCATTCCATCCAATTTTACGCGCTTTATACGTCAAAACGTGTTTTTTTTCAGTCGCCATTTTCTGAAAAACCTTTTTTTTTTTAATTTGAAATTTTTACCAAAAATCATCAACAAAATGGCGAAAATTTTGGCGCCAAAAAAAGTTAGCAACTACCCCCTCCACTACCACCGAAACACATTTATGGAGTCAAATGAAAAAGTGATAGCCTACGAAAAAAAATAGCCTTAGTTACATCACATAAATCGGCCACGAGCTTTCCATTGATGTCAGTATTTTCTTTTTCGACTGAATATTAAGGAAATTACGCACATAGGAACGGGATCATATCCACATTCTCGCAATTCATTTCACATTATCTCTGAGCACTAAGTGTGAGATTTAGTTTTCGAAGTTGGTAGCAGTGCGCTCCAACCTCACGCGCGGAGAAGAGAGATTTGAAGAGCGCATTACTCTTTCTCTCTCCTTCTTGAATTCTACTGATTTGCATGTTTTACTCATCATCGACTTATTGTGAAAATTAATGAAAAATTGATGAACAAGGTCATGCAGTGCTGTATATTGCATGGAAATTTTTCCCCTATCCTCAATTAATTTAGATTCTCAACTCAGTCCGTGAATAGCATGTGGGCGAGTTTATTTCTGAGGTTAGTTCACGCGGGTAATTTAAACGTTTGATTATTCCATGGAATTCTCAAATCCAATCGGAGCATGAATTATAAATAAATGTAGAGAAGAAATACCTTTTTTTAGAGCAGAAGTGATTGAAAATAGTTTCCGTTCCGCGGAAAAAAATCAATTCGATTCATACGAAAATGATCATGTGCTTGTTTTGGAAAAATGACGGGAATCTCCCAAAAAAAACAAAAACAAATGTTTTTGTAAAAAAACTGCGCCAAGAAAAAGTTTTGTGGGGTCGTTTCTGGAAAGGAGAAACACTTTTTTTCTGGAAACCACAATTCCCATAGAAATTTTGCAAAAAATAAAGAAATAAAAATCAAAGCCAAGTCGA